ATACTTAAAATCTTTTTATTTTTCATGGTCAAACATCTCGATATTGGTATGATCAATCAAAGGTTTTTTAACATTAAAACTACCTTTTCCAATGGATTTTTGAGGTGCATCCGTGCACTACATTATAGGGTTGCAACCTTGTATAACCTTTTTCCTTCTTGAAAGCAACGATTTTTCACATACAAATCCAATTAAGCATGACCCACGTTACATTGTGTTATTTTAATCCCACACCATCTAGTCGTAATTCATTGCGCATAGAAATATAGGTAACATAGATGATGTGGATTACTGCATGTAAAATGGTTTGATAGGGCTGCAGCCATATCAAACTAAGTAAAGCCTCACCTTATAATTCATTGAAAATTACAATTCAAGTATTGGAACACTTTTACATCGATCATCTCATCTTGAACATATTAGTTGTAAGAAAAAATTAGGAATTTAGGTTCTTAAAATTGTGTATATCGTAACAAATTATCTAGATCGTTTATTTTTCCCAAAAAAATAAGTGTTCATAGATCCATAAGATCGGTAACATTTTTTAATTTCAAATTTTATTGTCGGTGTCGGTGTTGAAAATTGATTTACATCCATCATGGAGATTGCAATTGCCAAAAATGCTTTCTAGGTGGGGATTTGAGGTGGGGCTTTATTTTGTTTTCATAAAACCTAGGTCTTATAGAAATTTCATCCTTATTAGAGTCGCAAATTTTATTGGATACAGTTTCTATAATGCTTAGGCTTTATGGAAAAATAAAGAAAGCCTTGTTTTAAAACCTTACCGGAAAATGTACTTCTAGTAAATCCCTATGAGGGCTCATAATTCACCATGGATTGTGAAATTTGATGCTAAAAAAAGAGTACAGATCTTGTGGGTTTGCAGATACTAGAAAATAAACAATCTAGAAAATGTGAAACACGATACACTGTTTTTATGCTTTGAAATCCTTATTTTTTCTTTTCCATAACATTCAAGATCGAAATGATTTGTTTGTGGTTCTTTGATATGGGGCTACAAATTTCTTATGAGATTGGAAGTGCGACTTTACTTTTCTTCTCATAAGTCTTAAGCCTCATTTTAATTATTTTCAAAAAAAAATTAATATATTATTTTTATTTTTTGTTTTTTTTAGCAAGAAAAAATGCACTCGACCAGTGTTTTAAAACCCATTAACTTTCGATCCAGATTGCCGATTTGGATGGGAATTTATCAAGACAAAATCGATGTGGGGATGGTATGGGTCCCGGCCTGGTTCTCCCCTCTGCCCCACCCCAGGTGTGGTTTTCATAAGGTAAAACTCAAAAAATGGGTCAAATCAAGCATATCTATAAACATGTTAAAAACTAGAAAATGGATGGTCTAGATAATGTATTGCAAGATGCATTATTTTTAAAATTTGAAGTATTTTTTTTTCCATATTTATACATCTCAATATCGAGATGATCAATTAGATTGTTTTTCAACATCAAAACAACTTTTTTCGAAAGATTTTTAAGATACACTTTAATCTCCCTCCCTTTCTCTCGTCCACATGTGCCTTACTGTGAGAGAGAGAGAGAGAGAGGATTAGTTCACTTTTTCAGGTACGAAAGAAAACTAAACATTGTTACAAATATGGAATCACCTCAAGCAAGGTTGTGGAGAGAACGAGCCCCTACTTCATTATTTACATTGTTTCTTTATGCTATTTTATAGTCTGAAATCTACTTGTAGTGTCTAAAATCCGGGTATCCACTTAAGAATAACCAAATGAATACGGTAGAAAATATGGATTCTGGGTAATTCATTTTTGGGTGCGGGTTGTATAGAGCTTATGCTCTAAACAATCAAATTAAAGCTTACCTTCAAATAGTGTCGAGAAATGTGGTTTCAATATTGAAAATCATTGTGATAGCGCTAAAAATATTTGTATCTTTATTTGTAAAGTTTAAAGCTTCACAAATAGTATAGATCGATAGATATATGAAAACTTGAAAATATTGAAAATTGACGATCCAAAGATGCATTACAAAATACACTATTTCCAAAACTTGAAATCCATTTTTTTATCATGTCCATGCATCTTGACATCAAGATGATCAATTTGAGGATATTTTGGCATCAAAACAATCTCTTCTAGTAAAATTTTTGATGTAGGCTCCAATTTTATTGTTTAGAACCTTGGCTCTATATAAACTTTTTCGGTTATTTTTTTGGGGCATATATAATTTATCTTGGATTTCTTTTTTTTTTTCTTTTTTTTTTGTGCATTTCTATATTGGTCATTGGCTTGAAGAGGTTTCATCCCCTAAATTTAAGATCCCAAAAATTATCTTGGGGTGCAACTCTTTACAAAAAAAAAAAAACACTTTGTGCAACTCTTCACTTTTTTGTCTATGCAAATTTCAAAGATTTCTTTGTCAATAAAAGAGAGCACAATGGAAAAATTGTATCCTTCGTACTTCAGCT